GGCTCCTAAGCCGTCAGATTAAGAATGGTCAGTTGGACAGTCCCCGGATCTATGGTTACGTCAAGGACAGGGGCGAATGTAGCTAACACCCCAGCAGAGGGACTCTGTGCCAATTCCAGGGGCTGGCTGTGTCTAACCCGGGCTGTGACTCCGGCCTGCTCTGGGGAAATCTGGGATCTCTTGAAGGATGAAGGCTTCAAGTCAAAACTAATCTCCTAACTGGCCAATAGTTACACCTAACAGTGAAGGCCTCTCCTTAGAAGGCTGTGTACCTGTTTCCAGAACACTGTCACAGGCCTAGACAAGGTCATCAATAACTAGGAAGCGAGCTGACGATAGGGAAATGCAGGATTAAAATACTGAAAAGATTCACATTTGATTAAACACGTGGTTCCTTATTGTAGACAATAAGAAGCTGACAAGAAGTGTAGCAGGCCTACATGTATATTCATTTTGAGGTAGGATGTGAGAGACTGCAGTGGTTTCTACTGGTGACAGAGAGGTGCTTACTACCACTGTGGTTTGCTGCTGACATTCCTGTTTCAGAAAGTACATTATAGCTGTGGAGTTTAGTGAAGAAAAAAAGTATTTTTACCCACCCAAGTTTCTGGAGCTCTGGAATCTAGCCCGTGTTTCCTTGTTTGAAGAATAGCTGTCTGTAATAGCTTTCCTGCAGCCGTCACTGGCTGCATTCATTGAAGAATAACATGAAGATCTGTTTATTAACCAACTGATGTGCCTCCATGCTCAGTTTCCCAGAGGCTCTGGATTACAGGTTTGTAACAAATGCTATCAAAATGTACTTATTTTTTCTTCCTTGTACATCCTTACTTATATAAAATGGACAAAAAAATGGGCCTGGCCTGGTGACACAATGGGTAAGGACGTAGCACTGCAAGCAAGCTGCAGCTACTTCCGCATGAGTTCGATCCCTGGCCCCGGGGGGTGACCCACAGGGTGCAGCAGACCTCTCCTGACCCGCCCGCTGCTCCCCTCAGCAGTGCACTTCGTTGATCTTCCTGTTCTGCCCTGCACTGTCTCTGGTGAACCCTTTCACCTCCCCTGCATCTCTGGCTTGTGCCCCAGTTCTGTATGCATAAATAAATAAATCTTTTAAAAAAATGTACATATACATTCTGCTGGAATACACTCAATATGCTTGTACACCTTATTTATGGGTACATGTAAGTTATGATAAGAATAAAACCCTGGCCAATGTGACCATACATCAACATCTACTATGAATTGCTTCAGTGGAGTTGGCAGGTTCTAACTGCACTAAACAAAGTAGGCCCGGGATGGAAGGAACAGAGTTAATGAATGCGTTGGCTGACCTCCTTGCTGCCCTTTTCCTGAGCCTCCACTCCTCCCTCTCAGGTGACCAGCTTATCTGCAGAGTATGTCCCCTGGGAGCTTTCGCTGAGGCTTCTGGCTCTTCACCACTGAAGGACTGTGAGCTGAGAGGGCAAGACCCCATGTCCGGTGCCACTTGGGTCACAGGCCCCCACACTTCTGGTCAGTGATTTCTTACATTTCAATTATACAGGAGGAAAGCAACGGGGTGTCACTCTTCTCAGGCAGAGTCCTTACCTCAACCCACCAGGCCAATGGCTTTTTCCCCTTGTGCCTTGGAGTTAAGAGAACGACGGATAACTAGTTCTTACCCCAAATAACACCTCTGGTCTAGGAAACACATTAACAGATTTGCCAATGACCTTTGTTGTCAGTGAAGGAAGCCTGACAGGAGCATTTCCTCATCAGGCCAGTGGCGGAGAGGCGTCGAGCCCATCAGACCATGCGGGGCGACAGTGAGGTGCCCAGGGAGGCTGGGCTGTGGGAAACCCCAGAGGCACCAGTTCCTGGGCCCTGCAAGGGGGTGTCGGACACAAGACTCACTTTTGTGCTCTGGATGGTCTCCTCGCCTTCCTGGTGATGTGGTGAGTTGCCGGCTGAAACCGGGACAGGAATCTCAGGAACAGGAGCCTACAATCCATCCCCCCACCCCCCAGATTTTCAAAAATAGAAAACAAAATTTTAAATGACAGAGGAAAATACTACAAACTGGAGTAACAGAGAGCAACTGCTTAAGATCAACTTGTGAGAAAGACAGCTTGTTGAGTGCAGGCTACACAGACCAGACTGAGTGGGAAGCCCTGCACCCTCAGGAAGATGTGTCACGTGGAGGGGCCCAGATCATCCTGTTTGGGAGTGAGGGGCGGCCTCTGAGGTCACTTTGGGACCGCCAAGCAGATTATTCTCGGACGAGTCAGTTTTCGAATGAGGAGGCTTTTAAGTTACTAAACAGTGTTTTGGAACAAATGAAATCGTACAGGAGGACACGTTCTGGGCAGGGGCACTAGAGAGCGGGGTCAAGGCAGGGCGTGGGCAGGGCAGGCAGGAAAGGCCCGTGGCCTGGACGCCAGCGAGGATATGCCTGCGGGTCCCGCGAGGAGTTTGTGGAGACTCTTTAGCTTGTGCTGCTTAGAGAACAATCACGTCTTGTTTGTTCCTGAATCCTTGGTTTTGTCTTAACTTTGATATTATTTTGTATTATTGTAGGAAAAAACAGAACTGAAACCCAGGAACTCCGGGGGGGAGAGGGGAACAGCCACAGAGCATTCTTTACTCCGAAGTAAGGGTTGGGCTAAAGGAAAAAACTTTTGCCAGACACCTGACCTTTCAGAGTCCCTTTTCTTAGCCTTTTGGGCCTCCGAGGGCTTAATGGCCATTGAGACTCATTCACGGAAGAAACTACCTAAACTGGCCAGTTTTTAGTGAAGTGATGTCAACGCCATTGGCACCGAACAACTCTGGACATAAACAAATGTGCCTTGTTCCCAGGGTAGCACAGTCCTGGGCGGTCGCAAGGTTTCACGGCTGACCACATAGTCCTCGGTGTGCGTGACCTTCTCATTATGTTTATAGAGCTCTGGCCACAGTCAGATTCCCCAAGAAATCAGTGTAGGTAACAACCCCTAGCGGCTGGAGAGCTGAGCACTTATCTGGTGCTGAAGACTTGCAGGTGGGATTTCGAGATACGTTTATTTTCAGTTTAAAGACAGAACAGAAAAATTCACAGCGGAACACGTTACCTTTTCATTCACACCTCTTTAATCCCCCAGTCTCCATACAATAAACATTCTAAAGTGTAAGCAGTGGGAAATGAAGTAAACTCTGCAGAAACAGAAAATAAATTAGTTTCCTTCAAACATGGTGGAACACTATATTCTGGTGCAAACGGAATTCGTCTTGAAGGAAGAATAAATCTTTGGTCTATTTCGCCATTTCTCCAGCGTTTCGTAACAAGCATATTTCAAATTCACGTTCTTTCTCCAAATGCAGCAAAAAGGCAAGAAGTAGTTTATATTTCGGGAGCCTGAGGAACAGGAAAAAATGTTTCACTGGTTTAGAACAGCTTTCTCCCCTGGTGTTAAATTGAACATGTTATTGCTTTGAAGTTGGAGATGGAAAGAAAATTCCAGCACAGATAAGCAATTCAGTTCATAAGACCTGCCTTAGGAACAGAGGAGACTCAGCCCTGTCTGGGACTCACTCAGCATGGGTCCTGCACACAGTCCTCTAACTTCCTGAGACTTCCTTACACCGCGGCAGAAATTCCAAGACTTCTAAGTTTTAGATCTAGATGCCAGAGCCTGCGGAGGGAGGCGGTTTCAGGTTTGGAATCCGATCACCTTGAATTTCAGTTCCATTTTCACAGCAGATACGGAAAGAAATGACAGATGTATTCAGGACAAGCAGAGAGGTGAGTGGACCTAGGACTTGCTGTTAAAGCCTTGTTGCGGTTGGGCCTCCCTGGTGGCGCAAGGGTTTGTTGAAGCTCTCTACAGCCATGGCAGCACACAGTTCGATCCCCGGCCAGGGAGGTGACCCACATGGCGCAGCAGACCTCCCCTGACCCGCCTGCTGCTCCCCTCAGCAGTGGATTTCAGTCCATCCGCCTGTTCTGCTCCCCACTGTCTCTGGGGAATCCTCTCACTGCCCCAGGACCTCTGGCCTGTACCCCAGTTCTTGTATGTATAAAAAAAAAAAAAAAGCTTTGCTGCTTTTCTCTCCAAGAATAAGAAGCCTCCTTGCCCCTGTTGAGCCCTGAAATGTTTTTAAAAAAGTGATCATACTATATTTTAAAAGTACAAACAAAATATCCAACGTTCAGGTAAAAAAGTTTCACCACTGCAGGAGAAATATAAATGCAAGATATTTTTGTCCTTTAATCTCAACTTATACATGAAAGAATGTATCTCCTGGCCAGGAATTCACTTTCGGCCAAGAGTTCACACTCGGCTGGAATACAGAGTCAGCCTTTGATGAGCGAGGGGCTGGGGCCTGAAGAGGCTTGATTAGCTTTAGAACAGGAGACAGTGATGAAACCAGGGCACTAGAAACTTCAAATACTCCCTCAAGTCCAATGTAAGTCAGGGAAGTAAAAAGAAAACACAAGGATTGCAAGCAAAATAAACATTCACAAAAAGAAAATATTTCAGCTGGTAAGGGGGAGGTTTACTGGTGCAAATCTTGCCCCTGGCTCAGAGCTGTGGCTGGGGGCTCAGGGACCCCTGAGGAGGGGAGTAGGTTGGGGCTGGGGCAGGGGGTGGAGGCTGGGTTTGGTGGACGGGAAATGACCAGAGAGGGATCCAGACCTTCCAAGCTCCAGGTTGGGGTGGCTTGATTCTCTAGGACACCTTTGTATCTGACCATTTTGTTTCAAGAGGCTTAGAGCCTGTGGTCCCACACTTAAAAAACCTTAAAGGGGCCCTCCCTGGTGGCGCAGCGGGTTAAAGCACAGCACTGAGAATCTAAAGCCGCTTCCGCATGAGTTCGATTCCCGCCTGCCCTGGAGGTGACCACATGGCGCGGCAGACCTCCCCTGACCTGCCCGCTGCTCCCCTCAGCAGTGTGCTTCAGTAGATCTGCCTGTTCTGGCCCCCGCTCTGTCTCTGTACGCCACCCCTTTATCTCTGGCCTGTACCCCAGTTCTGTATGTATGAATAAGTAAAAAAATCTTAAAAACAACAACAAAAAAACCCAAAACCTTAAACGGCTGGCAAGAAAACAGTCTGATTTGTACATTTAAGACACCAGTAGCCCAGGTGAGAAAGTACCCAGGACAGGTTTCTTCGAAAGGGAACGAAGATTTTGCGCCGTGTGCCTCCAATTCCATTTAGTCACACATTTCATTGGCACGGGCTCTGAGATGTTCATGAGGTCACCCCCACATTTACCTACCACCACCTTTGATTGAAGTAGCCTGGGCTTCCAGCCTACTTCGACCCTCCCTGGGACGGGGAAACGACGAGGCGGGTGCTCTAAAGCAAGGGCCTGTGCAGTGATGAGCTGAGGACTTTTCTCTAGAAACATAAAGGCGATGAAAAATCTGTCAGCTGCTCCTTGAACCAGGAAACCCTGCGCTTTGCTACTCGGGGTTTCTGTCCACAGACGGGCTGCCAGCAGCATCCAGGATAAATTTATGTTATTATTAAATTTTGCTCTGCAGGCAGTTTAGGGGAGAAATGAGCTGGGGTAATACTCCTTCTTTGGTACAAAAAACTAACATGGGAGGACCAGAGTCAATGAGATTCGATAACGAACATAACTTTTGCACATCAGAAAAGTGTAAGAGAGTACACTTCTGCTTTGAGGAGTCTGCCCGACTTCACTGTGTTCATGTGAATCTTGCCAGGGCTCAGAAATATGATGAAGGTCCCGAAGGAGACACAAAAAGGGTGGAGAAAAAGGAAAAAACCAACCCCCGAAATGCAATCATCTTTAAACAAAGGAATCATAGTTGTATGGCAGGATCAGTTTCATAGGGACAAACAACCTGTTTAAATTACTCCTGTTTGGTGAAGTCCAAAGGCCTGAGTCAGGCGCTTATTCTAACAATAGTGAACGCACAGCAGGGCAGCCCTGGGGAGGAGGAGCAGGAGCTCCCATTCCGGTGACTTCTTGGCCTCTCAGGTTCGCATAAGACGCATCCAATTTCCTAGAGGGTGAAGTCAGCAGGAGAGCCAAGGGGGCTGAAGTGGGCATCACCAGCCTGCACAGGCTTCCTCCAGCATAACGCTCTGCAGTGTCCCAGGGCCGCCACGGAGGCCAGGGGTTTCCTCTCCCGGTGCCCCAGTGCGTCCCAGTAGACGGCCTTGGATGATGCTCAGTTAGCAGCCACAGAACTCTGATTCTTAGGAGTGGTCCAGGGAAGCTCAGGAATGTTCGCAAGGTGATCACCCCAGGGGGAAGGGCCGTTCTGCAGAGGCCTGAGCTGAACACACCGGCTCCTTCTCCACTTGCTCAAACAGGGTCTAGGGAGGGTTCTGAACCACTGCCCGGCCAGCCCAGAACAGCACTGAGCAGTTTACAAAGAAGATGTCTTGTGTCAAAGGGTGGGAAAGCGCCAGTCAATGAAGAGTTCAGAGGCAGACCTACTCCGGTCTGTCTGAATTTTGACAAAGCCACCACGTCCCACAGCCAAATAATTATCTTTTGATATCAAAAAGAAATGGCCGTGCACTGCAAATTGCAGTTTTGTGCAAATAGCTGGTGTCTTCCAGAAGCTTCGTTACCCTGTGACTGGAGTGAGAACGGGGGCGCCTGGGTGAGCAGAGCTGGCTGGGTCGTGGCTTCTGTTCTCATGAGCAGGATAATCTGAGCCAGTCGCTGACTTCTCTGGGCCAGAGGTTTTGCAGATATGAAGAGAAAATACTGTCCTCCGACTGGGCCTGACACGTGCCCCTAGCTGAGGAACGGGGACCCACTCCCAACCCCGTCCTGCTCCTTTGAGCCCACCCAGGGAAGCATGTAACCCTCCACTGGGGGTGCTGCACCAGCCAGCGAGGGGCTTGGCGGGGCCTGGCACTTTGGGGGATCACAGCAGGGTCCTGGGCACACTCCCACTCAGCTCTTAAATAAAATCCCAAGGAACACGTGTGAGGGAACGTGAACACCAGATTAAAGAGTGTCAGTGATAGTGCAAAGGGGTCGCTCGGCGTGACCTGAGCCTAACTGCAACTGCTTGGGTGTAGCTGGGTTACAGGAATCACTTGGAAACTGCATGGAGGTGAACCAAGTGGCTGGAAATACACAAGCCAAGAAAGATAAAGAGCTGCACGCTCTGGCTCTGCGGAAGAGACACAGATGGCAGAGACGCAGCACCATGGGCTCTGGACACGACAAGGGAGATTAATCAGGACAGGGGTCAACCCCTCGGTTTAAGAGGACTAATATTATTTTCCCAAGGCCTGGGCGAGAAACCCAAGACCTTCACACACACAGTGTCATGCCAAGAGGACACACACACACACACACACACACACACACACACACACACACGTGCGCGCTCACACACACCAAGAGGCCAAAACAACACTGATATCAAAGCTCCAGTTTACAGGCTTCTTAGTTAAACTAGTCTCCCTCCGTTTATTTCTGGAGTTTCTTTTTCAGAAATGACAAAGACAGGCGATAAGCTTGTGGCTCAAACTAAATCCAAGTTTCACTTTTCAGCACAAAAAACACACACCAACCCCCAGCCCCTGACTCGCCAATTCCATACTTCGTAGTAATGTAATTCCATAAGTGGTCCTTTACTTTCCTCTTCATGGCTGAGGTCAAAGGCTTACAAAAACACCCCTCCCCCTGGAGCTCACCGGGGGAGGGACAGACTCAAGTATGAACCCCGTGTTCCTGGCTTGGGGCCATGTCTCCTGGAAAGTTAAAGCAGGGTCTTTCGGTCAAGCAAGCTCATCTGTTAGGCCCAGGATACGCTGGCAAGCGTGAGGGCTGCTGGAGAAGGCATTGGGTGTTCGGGTGGGGGCGGGCGAGAGGAATGTGTCTTGAGACCATGGTGAGGACACGTCTGATATATGGGGAAGCAGCTCCAAGCTTTAAAACTCCTGCTTGGAAGTTTCCAGGGAGGAAGGTTAGGAGGGTGGTCATTTTTCTTCCTGATGGAGGGTGGGGCAGTGTGGCTGCACAGCCCAGGGGCACATGGGTGAGCCTGAGGGGCCCCCAGCACTGTGGACTGTGTGAGGCAGCTCCTCATCAAGTCCAGCCGCCCCCCCCCCCAACTGCCCCCACCACTCAACAAGGGCTGGCATTTCTGCTGCCCTGTCCTTCCTGGGCCTCACAGGCTGCGTCATCAGGCCCAGCTCCATGTCATCGGGTTGGGGTACTACTGTCCCAGTGGTGGGTTGAACTGTGTTCTCAAAAGCGAGGCTGCAGCTGACCCCCAGCAACAGTGACAGGGGCCTTATTTGGAAACAGGGTCTTTGCAGAAGCGATCAAGGCAAAAGGGGGTCAATAATGGGGCCCTTGCTCACGATGTCTGAATCCTTCCAAGAGGAGGCACGAGAAGACAGGACTGGAGAAGGCCAAGAGGCTGGGGTGGAGACTGGGGCTGGGCAGGCTAGACAGAGAAGGCGAAAGCTTGACTACCAGGAGCTGGGAGAAAGCAGGTCCTCACGGATGGCTTGGGCCCGGGCCGTGCCCTGACTTTGGACTTCTCATCTCCAGACGTGTGGGAGAATGAGTTTCTGCTATTTTAAGACACCAGGTGGTGGCAGCCTAGGAAATGAAGACATCCGGGTGCCTCCACCAGGTTCTAACTGATGCAATAGGTTATATAGAAGGGAGGTCTAGACACTCTTCTACTACAGTCATGTCAGTATTGCTTTTGACTCTGGAAAAAGATGATGGAGTTTACCGGATTCCTTTGCTTTGGCAAGCGATGCCTCTGCTCTACTTGGATGGCAGAGCTGGGCTTGCTGGGCCATGCCTGCCACAGCGAGGCCTGGTCCTGATGCCTCACTGCCCGTCTAACCCAGGAGCGATCCAGACTATTAGGTGGGGACTCACAGTAATCAAGTCAGGAGATTGCTCATCAGATCATTTTTGTAATAATCAGAAGAACAAAACAAAACTGATCACCAAAAAGTAAAGACAGCCAGCATCTCAGGCAGGAAGCCTGATTCCAGACCCAGTTAATAGTGTGTCAGCTCTGCCTACCTGAGTGGGGTCCTGTGAAAATCTTCTTCCTTCAGAACAAGCCTTTAATTTGCTCCGTTTCGGTATCCAGATCTATGTCGTAAAAGCAGGGCCGAGTGGGCAGGCCTGGCATGGTGCTCATCTAGGAGAAGACAGAGAGTCAGACTTGGGGGCTCAAGTGTCGCGTGACACTTGTCAGCAGACGCCAGGGGAGGCTGATCGAACCGTGCAACTCAGCCTCGTCGAACTCAGGCCATATACACCTATAAATAAGCTATAAATCCACCACCTGCTCTTTTAATCTGTATTTAAGGAAATGCGATAGCAAAGGCAAGTGTGGACTTCCTGAAATGGAGACCACTCGCCTCTTAGGCCCCAGCCCCACTCCACCTTGTAGCAGCACTGTGCCTCCCAAACAGTGATTCTTCAAACCCTTTATTCTAAGGAGATCTTAATGCTGATCCCCAACAAAGGTGCGCCCCTCTGGCCGAAGGGGCTAGGGGAAGGGTGGGGGTGGGTGGGTGCAGGGAACAGTGGCTTCCTCACCCCAGCACACCCTTCTGTAAAACCCACCACTCCTGGGCCAGAGCGTGAAGACTTCTGTTCTCCGTCTGGAATCACGGTGGCTTTTACTTTCGCTACAGTTTCCTGAGAACGTACTATGCGGTTGGCGCCGGACTGAATACTTGACTGCTTTTTCCTCACAACAACCCAAAGAGGTCGGTTCGTTTACCCCTCCGAGTTATGCGGAAGGAAGTGATCCTTAGAGGGCAAGTGTCTTGCTCAAGGTCACACAGATCGTAAGTAAGCCGGAGATCAGGAATCTGAGCCCAGGGCGGTATCTCTAACAGCTCATTTCACTTGTGCCCCTGGGGGACCTGATCGTGGTCTCACTGCTCCTGGGTGACCTGCTCCCTGATTCTGGTCAGTTCCTCCTGTCGCTTAGGGTGGCCCTTTTCACACAAAGGATGCTGGCCGGGCGCGCTGGCGGAGCTACTGAGGGGATGACCCCAGCAGCATTTAATGCGCGCAGGCCTCGCCGCTCCTTCTCACCTGCTGGGAGGTCCCCAGAGAGAAAGATGCTCGGACGAGCCTGTTGCCAAACCAGAGCTTTTCAAACTAGCCCAGATATTAAACACCAGGAAGAATAAAAGGCCTCTCCCCTCTTTCCAACTGACTTCTCTCAAATGGGAGCAAAAAGTTCAGTTGGGAGACTCCCATGTTCCTTTCCAATGATGCAATCACCACTGGCAGGAAGAGGACTCCTTGTTTGGGATAAGCAACGACCGACTGGGAAGCAGTGTGGGGTGGGGAGGGGCTGCCTTCCCCCTGGACAACGAGCGCTGGCCAGTAAGTCTACTTTAACATACAGTATCTGCTGCTGAGCACACGCAGTGTGGAGTTATGTCAAGAAAGCCATTTACTCTCATGCGAATCCTCCCCACAACAGAAAACTCCGCTCTCGGAGGCTGGTGGCTCCAGAGGAAGGAAGAATTCTAGAGGCCCCTGGGGTGCTCGCTGGCCCCTGCTAGGTAGGAGTTGGTGGTGGCCTCTGCTGGCTTTATCAGTGTGACTTCTAAGGGGGTCATCTGTTAAATATGGAGGGACCGGGCCCGCCCTGGTGGCACAGCGGGTTAATGCACAGCACTGAGAAGCTAAAGCCACTTCAGCACGAGTTTGATCCCCACCCTGGAGGTGACCAGATGGTGCTGAAGACCTCTCCTGACCCACCTGCTGCTCCCCTCAGTAGTGTACTTTGTCGATCTGCCTGTTCTGCTCCCCACTCTGTCTCTGGTGAATCCTCTCACCACCCCTGCACCTCTGGCCTGTACCCCAGTTCTATGTGCATAAATAAATAAATCTAAAAAAAAAAATATGGAGGGGCCATGGCATTCCCTCAGGCATCACGTGGTATGAACAATTCTTTCACAAAGGCCAAAAATCATGGGCTTAACAACAATGAATCTTATAAATCGAACTGATTTTTTTTTTTTCAGCTTACTTGGGAGAAATGAGTCCTAGGAATAAATAGCCTTGATAAACACATTAAGTCTAGTACAGACAAAATACTTGTGAAGTTATGACCCGTCAAGAGAAGGAAAGTAGAAGTCTTGTGTCATGTGGCGACATTCTTTAGACAATTCTTTTCATTAAGTGACAGAATCCAATTTTTCGATTAACCACAGCATTACTGTGGCGAGTTCTGTTGTGATGGAGTGAAATGGCCTGTTTTTCTGTTGGTTCAAGGAAGCAGCAAATCTGTGCTCGCCTCCGTCGATGAACTTCTCCCCAACAGGCGACTCAACATGGCTGATACAAATCACCTTATTTAGGAAACTTGAGAACCAAAATGACTCAAATGGTGAACCACGTTATGATGAAAATCCAGTAAAAACATTTCCTTTTATATGAAATCATGGAAAGACTTGAGCTCTTTACTGAGCAAGAGTTGTGATTCAGTACCCACTGCTTGTTGGCCTTTTGACCAAGATCAAGTGTGAAGAGCGTGTCTTGTACTGTTGGGTCCTCGGTAAATGCTTTTCAAAAATAGATAAGCAAAAGTGGGAGAAGGCCTGGAAAAGTGTAGGCAGCGAACAAAAGGGAGGTGCTGGGCCTCTGCCAGTTGCTTCTTCCCTCCTCCCCGGATGCCAGGGACAGGCCTGCTTACATCACTGGCCATTAGGATAATGAAACAAGTCCGCTAAGTGGCCTCGCATCACAACACGTGACCGAAGGCTACAGAGAGATTAAAAATTACTCTGAGGCAAGCAGATGGTGCTGTTACCGCTGTGGCTTCCATTTGTGGAGATGGATGTGGTGGTTGGCCAGCATCTACCCGATGCGTGTGTGTGCTGTCACAGACAGACCCTGGTCTCAGGGCCAGGACGTGCTCCGTGTGCGTCCCGAGCGCCATGATCTCCCGTGCCTGTGCCTGTGTGGAAGGACACAGCACTCAAGCCAGCAGCCCTCACCGAGCTCTCACTGTGAGGACACCCAGGTGGACAGGACCTGGACTCCGCTTTCAACTGGACAGACTAATGAAGCAGATGCCTGCTTGTGACATTCGGGACATGGCACTTTCTACTCAACAAAAGTCTTTCATCCTTCCCCTTGCATATTAAAAGAATGTACACCATACATTCTTCCCTTATGACTTGCTAGAACGGAAGTCACGTTCAATCACTGTAACAATCACTATGTCGTGCTCACATATTGTGCCAGCACTACACAGCTCAGAATATTTCAATGTTCTCTAACGACCCTGACGAAAGCAAATACAGTTGCTTTTCTCTTCCTTAGAGGAGAGCATAAGTTTCTTCTAGGGTTAGGAAGTCTGTCCTCCACGTTTCTATTTATTAAAAAAGTAAATCTTTCAAAATGATTATTAAAACATAGATGCTAAACAGTAGATCTCTGCTACCCTGATTTTCCTTCCTAGAGATAAAACCTGTGCACATCACACACACACACGCACACACACACACAGGAACCATCACTGCCGACACATCTGACATTTGATTCACACGGAGACTAAACCTGAAAACCTGTACGGGGTAAATGCCAGAGGGGATGCCCCTGGGTGGAAGTGTCCAGAAGAGCTGTCACTGCCATACTCTGTATGCAAAGCCCGTGGCCTGCCTTTTCCACCAGCACTTGGGAGCTGATTTGGAGAGCAAGGAAAGATACTCGTGAAGCAGAAGGGTGTGGCTGCCAGATGCAGACAAGGAATTTCTGGCGGTGTTTCACACATACTGAAGAGTGGAAACATTACAGAGGATGAATGGCTTTAAGTTAGAAGCCTCCTAGGCGCGAGACCCCCCCCTCCCCATGGGCTCCTTTATGTGACTCTAAGGATGTATCCCTGAGGCCGCTTTCAGCTGTGGTTGCCAGCAAACCCCCCCCCCCCACAATGTCCTTACTGTCCAGGCCCCTGAAGACCAGAGGTGGCAGGGGCAGGAGGGGGAGCCCAAGATGCCGCCACTGTCCCGCCCCCTTCCTGCCGCCCCATTCCTGCGTGTGTGGGAGCCCCAAGCGGGAGCCACACCCATACGATCCAGCACGTCTTTTTTCACAGAGCCTTTCCTCGTGAATCCTTAATCAATTTTCAAATAATAGTAACTTGGTGCTCTGTAGTTCCCCTGGTAAAACTCCAGGGAGAGGTGCACAGCAGGTGGAGAATGTAGCTCTCTACAGAGACATACCTATTTCAGGGCCTCGCCTATAACTTGCACATGCCAAGTTTACCACACACCCAGCACGTTGTAAGCATCTCATTTAATTCCAGAAGTCCCCTCAGATTAGTGTTATTATTTCTCATTATCCCCATTTTGCAGATCAGCAAGAGACATGAAAAAACATAATAATTTGCTCTAAGGCACGCGGCTAATACCAGTGTGGAATTGAAATGCAGACAGCGTGGCTCCGGGCCTCGGCCTCGCCCCTGGGCCCTATGCCTGCCTCGCACTGTGGCCTTTGGTCTTGGGCTGGGAGCGCCTTCTGCAGGAGGAGTTTGCGCGTCCTTTCAAGCTACAGCTGCTTCTATGTGCTGCTCAGGTCAACAGATACACACAAACATGTGTGAATTCATTCATGGTACATGTTGGTCTTGGTTCCTTTTAAACTTTTACAATTATTTAAGAGTATGTGACACAGCTCGGCCTTGGAATAGTACTTTTCCAAATTACATCTTAAAAAAAATGCTGCCTTTACGGATTATTTATTCCTAGCTGAGAAGTCTACACAGTTGCTATTATCCATCGAAACAACCTAAGAGTCATCTGAATTTTTACTTAAAAATTGCTGGCAAAATGTTCTATAGCTTTGAGATTTGCTCTGGTAGCTGACTTTACTGGGTTGGCAAAATCCCAATCAGACTGTTGTAAAGTCACACTACTGCCGACCAACATTGGCTTGTCTGTCTGCTTGTTTCCCAAAGCGGCTTTGTTTTGACTCATTCCCAAAAAGAAACACTAAGGTCACCCCTCCACGCTTGTTGACACGGACTTAGGAGGTCCCCCTGCCTCTACCCACATCACTCATAGGGACCGCTCTGAGCCTGAGACAGGGGAGCTGAGGGTGGGGACTTTGGTTCTATTTCCACTTACAGGTGCAGAAAAGGGCTTGAGGCCTTGGCGTGACTTT